AGAGGGGTAATGCTAAAGATTCAGAGGATCCAGGTGAGGGAAGACTTTTTTTCCTTAGAATTTGGAAGTACTGATGTCATCCTAGGGATAAAATGCCTACGGTCTTTTGGAAGACACCAAGGTGAATTGGAAAACATTAAAGATGGAATTGGTGGTTAAAGGGAAAAAAAGAGTGATTCAGGGTGATGTGGGGCTGACCAAGGCTGGGGTTTCTCTCAAATCCCTAATTAGGACCATTCAGGAGGAGGGAGGAGGCTACTTGGTGGAGTTGCACCGCCTGGAAGGGGTTAGACTCGAGGAAGAGGGAAATATTCCCTCTTCAGTGCAGTCGCTTATACACCAGTTCAGTGAGATTTTTTAACCTACACAGGGCTTACCTCCTCAGAGGGACTTGAAGCACGCCATTACCTTGAAGGAAGGAGAGATACCGATCAATGTCCGCCCTTACCACTTCCCTCAGATTTAGAAAGATGAGATTGAGAAGTTGATCTGGGAGATGCTAGAGGTGGGGATCACCAGGCCAAGTGTTAGCCCTTTTTCTAGTCCCGTCCTCCTGATCAAGAAGAAGGATGGGAGTTCGAGATTCTGTGTGGATTATAGGGCTTTGAATAAGGGGACTGTACCAGACAAGTTTCTAATTCCAGTAATTGATGAGCTCTTGGATGAGCTATACAGTGCTAAGATGCTTTCGAAGTTGGACTTGAAATATGGATATCATCATATCAGAATGAGGGAGGCAGATATTCCAAAGATAGCTTTCAAGACACATAAAAGGCATTATAAGTTTCTGGTAATGCCTTTTGGACTGACTAACACCCCTACTACTTTTCAGTCCTTGATGAATAGGATATTCAAATAGTACCTCAGGAAGTTTGTCTTGGTTTTCTTTGATGATATTATAGTGTACAACAAAACAAAAGAAAGAGCATCAGAGACATCTGAAGGAGATTTTAAGCGTGTTACAGGAGCATCAGTTAAAAGCCAACTTGAAGCTGCATGTGTGGAGTACTTGGGACATGTGGTGTCCCAAGAAGGAGTGGCAGCATATCAAAATAAAATTGAGGCAATGCAGAGGTGGCCAAGGCCTAGGAACATAAGGGAGTTGAGGGGTTTCCTAGGTTTGACCGGGTACTATAGGCGGTTTGTGAAAGGATACAGTGCTATTACTTGGCCTTTGACTGAGCAACTAAAGAAGGATAACTTTTTATGGGGAGAGGCAGCAACTTAGGCTTTTGAGAAATTGAAGAAGGCAATGACTACAATATCAGTTTTAATTCTTCCAGATTTCAATCAGGTATTTATAGTAGAGACTGATGCGTCATGATATAGGATGGGGGTAGTGCTGATGCAGAACCATAGGCTATTAGCATACTTCAGTCAAGTGCTATCAGCTAGGGCTAGATTGAAGTCAGTATATAAGAGAGAGCTAATGTCCATTATTTTGGCTATTCAGAAGTGACGCCCCTATCTCCTTGGTAGGCATTTCATTGTTCAAACAGATCAGAGGAGCTTGAAGTATCTGTTAGAACAAACGATGGTGACTGAGGAGCATCAAAGGTGGCTATCCAAATTATTATGTTATGATTTTGAGATCCAATACAAGCCTGGTTTGGAAAATAAAGCAGCTGACGCGTTATCTAGATGTGTTGGGGAGCTCTAGGAATTAGCTGTGTGTTCCACTGATGGTAGATTGGGGGCTATAAAGGAAGAAATCATGCTGACTGAAGAATTGAGAAAGATCAGGTAGGATTTGATAAAAGCAAGAGTAGCCATCCTGATTACTATATTGAGGGGGAGAGACTATTATATCAAGGGAGGTTTGTGATGCCATAAACCTCCAAACATATTCCTCACTTGCTACATGAATTCCATGACAGCATGGTTGGAGGTTATTCAGGAGTTGAGAAGACATATAGGAGGCTGACATTTGAGCTTTACTGGAAGGGAATGTATAAAGATGTTGCGGAGATGGTGGCAAGGTGTGAAGTTTGTCAGAGAAATAAATATATGGCGATGGCTCCAGGGGGACTAATACAACCATTGACACTTCCAAACATAGTATGGGAGGAAGTTTTCGTGGATTTTATCGATGGGTTTCCACGATCAGAAGGATTCACTGTCATCATGGTGGTGGTGGTCAAACTTAATAAATATGCACACTTCATCCTCCTACGACATACTTACACCGCCGTGTCAATAGTAGCAGCATTTATCAGAGAGATTGTTCGTTTGTATGGGATTCCTGAAGCGATTGTGTTGGATCAAGATAAGGTGTTCCTTAGCCAGTTCTGGAGGGCGTTGTTTAGGATGCAAGTCACTATCCTTAAGAGAAGAATTGCCTATCACCCATAGACAGAAGGGCAAATTGAGGTGGTGAACCGTAGTTTGGAGACCTATTTGAGGTGCTTTACTTCTAAAAAACCACAGATATGGGCAAAGTGGCTGCCATTGGCCGAGTATTGGTATATATATCGTACCATTTTGCTTTTCAGATGACTCCCTTCAAGGTGCTGTATGGAAGGGACCCCCACACTTAGTGCACTATGGGAGAGGAAGCACACCAGTTTCCTTAGTGGAGCAGTATTTGGAGGAACGGGATAAGGTGCTGAAAGAGTTGAAGAAACATCTGTTGAGGGCACAACAAATTATGAAAAAAGCAGGCGGATTCACATCGGAGGGACATGCAGTTTGAAGTAGGGGAGAAGGTGTTCCTAAAACTACGACCTTACAGGTAAAGGACATTAGCAATAATGAGGAATGAGAAATTGGCAACGAGCTACTTCGGCCCCAATGAAATTTTGGAAAAGATTGGAGCAATGGCGTACCGACTGAAGCTGCCCCCATCAGCTACCATACACCTAATTTTCCATGGGTCTCGGTTGAGAAGAGCTATAGGAGAGCATGCAGCTAGTGCAGAACTACCAGACACTGGCTGAGGATTTGGAAGTGATATTAGAACCACTGAAGCTTACAGATATGAGATCAGATAAAGAGCAACAAAGAAGTGCTGATTAGATAGAAATGTCTTCCCGATTTCGATGCTACATAGGAGCCATTTGACATAATAAAAGATCAATTCCCTTCATTTTACCTAGAGGAGAAGGTGAATCTTTGGGAAGGAGGTAATGTTACGGGAGAGGTTAAACCGGCTTAGGAGTGGCTGGTTCATATTTATAGGAGGTGGGCTAAACTGCCTCCTTAGAGCCCACCACCTTAGCTGTAAAACCCAAAATTCGTCAATTGAGTTCGTATCACGCGTAACGATGCACCGCGACGAACTTAAGTGAAATTTTGATGTCGTCGGAAATTGGCGAAATAAATTTCATTAGATTCGTCTCGAAATTTCGAGCGAAACGTTATAAAGAACTTAAATTAAGGTTGTGGAGCTAAAATTTGCCGAAGTTCGTTTAAGTAATATTTGGCCTTTTCTACCCCCTTTGCCCTTCATGAATTAAAAGAAAACCTTTAGAGATAAGGGTACATGCATAATTTGGCTTCCTAAATTTCCTTAAGCTCCCTCATACGCCTAAGGGACCGAACATTTCGGTCCCTTGTTGATTTGTTTCGGCCGAACGTGAGAGAGGCGACGGGAGAAGGGGGGGACGACGTCGACTTAGTCTCTCCGGCGAGATTCCGGCGAGGGATCTTTAGAAAAAGCATAGGGAAAGCCTTGAGGTAAGTTTTTCTTAAAAGAAATGGAAGATTCCTTGAGTTTTTTTGTATAGAAAAATTTTAGGGTTTGTGTTTTTGAGAAATTTCTTTAGGAAACTTTTATGGTTTGACTTGATCTATGTTATCCTACCATTCATGTCAATTTTTTTTTAAGCAAAACACTAAATCCGAAATTTAGGGTTTCTCTTTTTGATGAAATTTTTATGGGAATGATTAGAAGAGCTTAAGGGAAGGCTTTTGATATTAAAAATGTAATTTTTCATTTAGCGAATTTGAGTGGAAAAATTAGGGAAAGTTTAGGGTTTTTCCAAACCTAGTTTTTATAGGTTGCATGTTCTCTAATTGAGTTTCTAAGGGCTTAAGGAAGCCTTTAATTTCGAAATTTGAAAGAAAATCATTTTTTCTAATTTTTATCTAAGATAAATCCGAAAATTATTAATATTATTTATTACTTAGATGAAGGGAATGTTTTTGTATGCTTAAGAAATGAAAATATCAAGTATTGAAAGTCTAAATGTTGGGATTTTTGAAAAATCCGAAAATAACATTTAATTTTAAATAAAATTAACGATGTTGGCGATTTAAATGCTTGTAATAGTCATTGGAAACTTTTTTTCTCTTAGTTTAAAATAAAGAAAAATGGTAAGGAATTGTGCGGGAATTATTGTAAAGGAAAGCTTGAGGGTAAGTGACTCTATTTGCTAAAGCAAGTACGCATTTATTGTTCAAAACTCTTATGCTATGTTTAAATTTCATACAAGGGTGACTTAGTGTTCAATTTTATGCAATTGTTCCTTAATGTCATGCAAGGGTAATTAGTGATACATTTCATACAATTGTTACTTAATGTTATGCAACTGTTACTTAGAGTGAAATGTCCAAAAGGTCATTAACCTATCATATGCATTTCTTAGCATATCATATCAAATCATCTTATCATATTCATGCTACATAACTTGTGATTGTTGATGACGGAGTACCAAGATGTGGCTCATTGAGCAAAGACGGCCTTTAAGGCAAAATGGAACGAAGAATGATATGTACCTGATCAGTACAATTTGGTACTCCGGGACGGATGTGTACATTATGACATGAAAGTTAAACATATGCGAATGTTTCATGTTCTCTCAAGTTAAGAAATCATATGTCATGTTTTAAGCTTTAAGCAAGTATGCCTCATATCATGTTCAACATAGCATTTAGACACCTATTAATTCATGTGTAGACTACTATTCCGCAAGATATGTTCTTTCAAATGTATACGAACTTTAGTTATAGTTGTTACTTGCTGAGCGTAGCTCACTCTCGAGTTTTGGGAAATTTTTCAGGAGAACCTACGCTTAGGTGATGGCCGAACACCCGAGGTTTACCTACAGTCGATGCGCAACGGGTGGCAGGTTCTTACTGTTGTTTTTAGTTGTCATTTTTTTTTGGTGGTTTTATCATGAATGAATAGATTAAGTGTATACCACCTTGTACATGAACTTCTTTTGTGATGGTTTTAAATGTTATATGTTGGAAAAAGTTTAGAAGCGCTTTTAGTATTCTTGAATATCTTTAGAATTGCATGGAACTGATAAGGAGTACTTAAATTACATGTCCGATCTCGTTCCCGCCTCGTACCTATGAGCTAGCCGGGCCGGGTCGTGACTTTAGCAGGTGGGCCCCACTCTCCTGGGTAGCAAAACAGAGAGAGAAAGAGGGCGGTGGGGGACAGAGGGAAAGTATTTTTTTTAATGTTTGAAAGGGCTAGGGTTAGGGCATGCAAGATTATTGTTTTCTTGTGGAGGCTCTTGAGGGTTGGTCTCTATAGAATTTCTTTAGATATTGGAGAGTTGTTTCTTCCTCTCGGATTGAAGAAACTTGTATCTTTTATTGCTTTCTTGTTGATTTATGGAATAGATGGGATTTGCTTGTGTTTTTCTCCACCAAATCTAAAATTTCTACTTCGTTATTGTTGTTTTCTCTCTGAAAACAGTAGATTCCTCTTGATTTCTCACCAATTTTTGCTATGGTTACTTGCGAACTCAAGTATTTCCTATCATTATAATAGGTTATATCTTGATGACTATTTCAATTTAAGCAGATGTTTCACCAAACTAAAACATGGTTGCTTAGTTTAAGTTTGAGGCAAATATCACTTTGTCATGAGTATTACATTTATACTCCTATAAATTCAAGTAGATATAAAATTGAATACATTTAGTATAATTTTATTAGTAATAGATCTAGTTGTTGGTTTGTGACATTGGGATCAAGTCATTAAAAAAAGTGCACGTTTTGGATATCTTGGGCTATTGTTCAAAATGATGTGGCCAGTTAGTAGGAAAAGAAAGAAGACTGCAAATGAGATCATGGTCGGGGATGTGGTCCTCTTAGATAACCAATGCTGAGATCTTCTTATGTGTATTTCAGTGGGTGCCACAATCGAACAAGACCGCTGTCGAAGGACTGGGATAACATATAGTTTCCATGCTAGTTTATACTCTCTCATACCTTATGCTTTAATGAATGCAGTATGCAACTTTTCAAGAATTCTATGTTGCAATAAGTTAATCTCAAAAAAATTAATTAAATGAACATAGGGCAAATAATACATATTTAATTACCAAGAAGAAATCAATTGAATTAAATCTTGCTCGAGAAGATTACATTCACAAAACTCCTATCCTAGAATTGGGGTATTCATATCTAATCACATGGAGGTTTGGATCACATCAACCCCTCTAAAGAAGAATTTAGGATATAAAAACTCCTAATATGATATGGGATAGTAAAATATTATATTGATGAAACACAAATAATGATCTAGGGGGTTTTCAAAGAATCTTTAAGCTATAATGCCACAACTCTAATGTTGAATATTTTGAATCTTTAAGCTATACTTGCTCATGTCCTTTAAGGGGCTGTTTGGTATGCTTAATTAGAAGGGTAAAGTAAATAATTTACATGCATTTCTTAGATTTGATCGTTTGGTTGGTTTTGAGCAAAATGTAAGTAATTCTTCGGAAGTATTAGCGGTGTATTTCGACCGGCCTTTCTCGCGACTTCAAAACCCGCTCAAATTGAGCGGGTTACAAAAACACGCCCGCTGCGGTAGAAATTTTCCGGCGCTCAAGGTGGTGCAAAAGACTTTCTCGGTCGTAGGCATCCGGTATGCGTTTGTCGCGCATCGTCGGAGGTTGTACAGCACTCCAAATTTTATGCCATCACATCTCATGGAAGCAGGTAATCCAATCATTTCCTGCAATACAGTGATTGGTAAGCCGTCCATCTGTTTGCAGACAGGTAAGCGACAGCAAACCCTAACAGCTGAGGTGCGCCTATCGGGAATCGACCTTCACTCTGGCACCGCAACGACAGCCCGGCTATTTCCTGCCATGGCCGGCAAGGGGAGATACTATACGGCTGGAATTCAGATTCCGGCCAACTTGGCTACGTCATCGACAAGAAACTCAGCAAGTGCTTCTCCATTCCAGAAGCAGCGAAGCTTGCAGGAATTGCATTGATATGCACAAGTGAGATTCCAGGCTAGAGACCAACAATGGAGGCTGTGCTTCAAGAACTAGGAAGTAACCGATGCTTCAATTTCTAACTGTACTGATCTTTTGTAATTGTAATCGACTTCTTTATTTATCTTCCTGTTTTGATTTTTACTTGAACTCTTATGTCTTGTAAGAGAAGTGAAGAAGTTCCAGTGTTTTGGAATTGCTTTCACATGGTAGTTCTTTGTAAGGATTGTCTTTCATGTTTTGTTTTGAGGACAGTGGTAAAGATTTTCCAGATAGCTGTAATGGTAAAGCTTTTTCAGTGTAGCTGTATAAGGAAACGATACAGGACTGACGCACTGCCTACCACTGCTTCGTCACTCGATGAGATGGTGGGCAGAGTCCTTATGATGTTGACTTTCAAGCAAATCTATAAAATTATCAATGTTGTCTCCAATTTTATATTAATTAACTAAGTTCCCAAAGGAGATTTTATTAAGATGAATGATATGAGAATAGTGATTTCTAAATCTTGAATGAATGAACCCCCCGTCGATACACATGTCTGGTTTGATACAAGTCAGGATGCTGTTAACTAGTTCAACCGATTTAAGCCTGTATCTTTTTATTTCCTTGATTAATAAATTCAAGTCATTGAGCACTCAGTTGGGATCTATACGGGTGCTGATTCTGCTAACGTTTGGCTGTTGAAATAGGAGAACAAAACTATTACAGTGTGATCATTGACTACCTATTTTATTGAGCTTGTTTCTCAGGAAATTTTTTTTTATGCATTATAATGATATAAATGTATTTGTTCTGCTTTATATTTGTTGTACATTCCAGTTTTTAAGTCCCTTTAGTTCAGAGGGTGTTCTTGGGATCTGTCTCATTGAAATGTTCTTCAAGTGTGGGGAAATTGTAAGTACTTTCTCTATTTTTAGGGACATAAGAAGGAGGTTGGGTCATTGGACCGCTTCCATCATTTCAGAAATGGTTCGTGCTCTTGTATGGATCACTGGTAATCAAGGTCTTCATTTCTTGATTTATGCTCTTCAGTTGTTCAGAAGAACTGTCACAAATTCTTGGGAAGATCATAGCCATATTAATCATTTATTTACTGAGGGTTGAATAAAGTTTATTGTGGGCGTATACATTTATTCAACATCTATAGGTGACCTTCATTGGCTCTTTAATCCTTCATTTATGGAGTAGAGTTTCTGTAAATCCAACATTTATGCTTATGTTGGATTTTTGGTCTCTATGGTATGATCAATATATTTCTATGGTCAAAGCTGATTATGCTTGCAGTTTATCAGCTTTTCTTCAACAAATAATTGACCAAATTGACTACAAATAATTTCAGCTTAAATGGTATGTGTACCACTTCATATATCTGAAGGTTGTCTTCTCTCTGTAGTGGTAAAGCTTTTTCCAGATTCCTGTCTTCTTTTAATGGACCAGCTGTTCTTTGCTGTAATCAACAAGGATCACAGCATTAGAGCACCTTGAGGTTGGTTTGCTTTCTTATCACCCTTTTATTTAGTCTTTTGTTAATGGTTCTAGCAACCCTAGTGCCTTAAATTTGTAGACGTTTACCACTGAATACAAAATCAGATTCCATTTGGAGTTTCTTTAAGTAGATATGAACTGGAAACTCTAGGATTCGTTGTTTATTATTCTTTTGCTTGTTGATTGTAATCCACTGTTTCTGCTTAATGCTGCTATATATGTAGAATTTGGACTTTGGTTTCTTTTGGGGTGGTTTTCTTACTTCTTATTAAAGCAGCTTTTAGGTATATATATTAAAAATTTTGTTCTAAAAAACTGCTTTATGAAGCAGTTAAAAGTTGTACCAAAGGAAGCCTTCGGTTTTGTTTCTGTTGGCTTTCTTACTGCTACTTAAAAGTAATTTTTTGGTACAAATTTTTTTTAAAAAAATTTTATGTACTAAGAAGCTGTTTTAGTAAGAAGCTGTTTTAGAAAGCAATAAGAAAGTTGTCCCAAATGAAGACTTAAATTTTGTTTGGGATGATTTTTTATTGCTTCTTAAAGCAATTTTTAGCGTAAATATAAAAATTAAAAATTTTAAACTGAAAAATTGTTTTAAAAAGCAATAAGAAAGTTGTTCCAAATGAAGTCTTAGTAATCATAATTATTTAGTTAATCTCAGGCTCAAATGAGAGGCGCCAAAATAAATTATTACAAAAAAACCAATTTTACTATACTCTGGTTCTACCTAATCAAATAAGAGAAACAATTCTCTTGCGTTTATTTTGCATACAACCAAACAGTTTCAAAGTACTCATAATGCAATACATTTAATTTACAGTGTATTTTCTTTTCAGGCAACCAAATAGCCCCTAAGTGGGATTGATCATTGCATTTCATTGAAAACTGGTGCACAATTGATGAATATTTGGCACTATTTCCATCTCTATCTTCAAAAGGATGCTATTAAAAAATGGTGAAACATGTTTAACAATCGAATAATTTGTGATAGCCACAACTTGTTCTCTAACATAGTGATCATTGTTAGAGAAAGTAGAGTGAGAAAGTCTCGGATTTTTAAAGGTAATTTTCAAAATTTTTCTGTTTCATGGTCGTTGGCGGGTTTCTCGTCTTAGATGGCGGAACTTACTCCGGCCATCTCCGGCGACTGGAACACTCCTCCGTTATAGACCTGTCAATATTTGATCGACCCGAAAATTCGCTGCCCCCGCCCGCTGCCCGCGCTTCCTTGCTGCTGCCCGCCTGCCCCGCGCACTGCCCCCGCTGGCCCCGCGCGCTGCCCACAACGCGTCGCGCCGTCGCTCGCTGCGCTGCCGCGTCGCTCGACGCACCACTCGCTGCAACCGCGCCGCCACCGCGTCGCTCACTGACCGCTCGCCGCACTGCCCACTCCATCGCGTTGCCCGCGTCAGTGCGTCACCTAAACCCTAAACGGGTTGGGTCGGGTTGACCTGAACCCGAAGCGGGTGGGTTCGAGTTTCGAAACGACCCGTTTATAAACCGGGTTGGGTTGACCCGAACCCAAATAAAGCCGGGTTAGTTACGAGTCGGTCGGGTTCGACCCGTAACCCGAAATTGATCATTGTCAACAAGAAAAATTGGAAGTTAGCGGTTTTGTGTGAACTACTAGACATCAAAGGCGATGTCAAATTTACAAGTGAAAGGGTCAGAATTTTTTTTTTTGTGAAATAGAAAACAAAAAAAAATAAAAATAATGTTTTTGGTTGATTTAGCAAATGACTGGCTCTAATGTGGTAGTGCTAATCTTTGTGCATGATTGACTTAAATTTTTTTAAATAAAATTTAAAATAAGTTCTATATTAAATTTAAAAACAACTGGCTTAAATTTCTTTTGTTCAATATTAATTTTAAGTTGATTGTTTTTTAATTGTAATATCTTTGTATTAAAATTATTTGAATATAATAATATTTATATTTTTAATATATGTCAATTAAAATGAAATTTAAAATCTTCTCTATATTAAATATAATATTTATATATATTAATGTTTATTTTCTTGTTAATTAAAAATATATTAATTGAACCTCAATCCAACTAGTCGGGTGAATGCAACTTGCTGATGTAGTTGCATGTGCCAAATGATTCGGCGCATTCCAATAGAGCAAAATAATTTGACATTTTCTAATTATGCTAAAGTAATTGACGATTCCACTCCTTTCTAAATTATTTCGTAAATTTCTTCGTTCCGCTTATTTTTATAATTTTAATTAATTAATATTAAATTGCAGCTCTATTTATCATGTTTCATTTGAGCGAACTAATTGATCCCCATTGTCCTAATTTGATTCAAATCGGCACCGATTTGGGTTCTATTGCATCGATGCAAATTCAATTTAATTAATTTGCTTGATACGACCCAATTGAATTCAAATTAACTCAAAATTGAGTCGAGTTAGATCTGATTGTGATCAATTAAATTGATTAGTTCATTTTAGCTGCGTCGAGCCCAATTTGACTCAAATTGATCATGATTTAGTTTAATTGTATCTAATTAAATTGATCATGCCAAATTAAATTTAAATTTACTCATATTGAGTCAAATTCGAATTCAAATCTGATTAAAATCAGCCCAAGTTAATTCTAATTAAACTCCATATACTTTTTTATGAATTTGAATCCAATTCCAGATCAAGCAATTAGGATCCAACGGCTTGGAATGCGTTGGAACCTCGACCATGTCGGCTCAGTGTTCTCGGTTGCGTGACTTTTCATTTTGGGGCGAATACTTATGGCTTTTGC